ACRTGGAATCCAGATTTTTGCACAGCTTTTGGCTTTTAAAGACTATGGTCTTAAACCTTTGATCAGCTGAAAAAAATCATGTTTGAGTGTAAATGTAGTTTTCAGAAAATTCCCTGCTCAAAAGTTCTTGTCTCTTGCACTGATTTCTTCTTTTAACATTGTGAAGCTCTACTTAAAACCTTCTTAAGATCCAATAAAGCAAAATGCAAATTCTTGCACTTTTTTGACTGGACATAAAGGGGTTAATATCTCAGAGGTGATGGAGTTGTTTTGCTGTAATCCAGATCCAGCGTGTGCACAGCGTCCGCTCCACAGCTTTCCTCCAGTCCCTGTGCGTAGGGCTGGAGTAAAAAAGCCCACATAGGAGATCCTTTGTTTAGAAGAGTCTAGGCATGGAAGATAATTTACAAGCGTCTAAGGTCCTCACGCCATTGGCTGATGATGCTCTGTCTGCATCTGCGAAAGGCATCCCGTACATGTGTGCGTCTGTGTGTGTGCGCGCGCAGCCAGTGTGTCTGCCTCTGCTGCTGTGGCAACACTTTGTTGCAGCAGCTCCCCAGTCACCTTAGACATGACACCCGGGTGCTCGCCCCGCGTACGACCGCTGCAGCCAGCGTTTTCATGAGCCTGCAGGAAGGCGAAGCAAAATGGCCCCCAGCACCGTTTAAGGATATCCTGCCTAAACTAGAGGGGTTTCCTTCGGAGGACAGGCGAGGTGAAGGCGACCAGAAGTGTTCACCCTGGGGCGTATTGTCTTGTTGCAGATGGACTGTCTACAGAGAGGTTTAACCCCTGTTGTTTCTGTTTATGTCACCCTGGATTTAGCTGTCTAGAGTGCTGTGTGTGGAAACAGGTGTTATTACTAAACCACAGAGGACTTTGGCACCAAAAAAATACTCATTTTATGTCCTTTCAAGCTATTGTTCTCTTTTAAGAACCTCTTACTTCCCCTTTTCCACTCTTGTGTCATTCTTTGCATTCATATTTCTGCAAGTTTTCAGACTGTTTTGCAGATAACTTCTTTAAACTTTACGCATATTTTTTCTTTGAACTGCTTTACTTATGACTGTGTTGTATAGAGAAAGCCTCACTCGCTTTAACCTGCGAAATTGCTCAGTGTTTTTACTTGCGCTGAAATTCTCTGAAGTACTTTGGGTTTATGGACACCTGCACGAGTCTTTGTCACTTTGTCCTTTTATGTAGTTTTGTACGTTCGACTACGTGACATGGAGCTCAGCGCAGACAGGAAATCCTCACTGGATGAATGAAGGAAACTCTCACGTGTTTAGAGTAACGCACGTGAAACACAACTTATGCGGTCAGTCAGGAAGGAAGCGATGCTTTTTTTTCTCCTTCACTGGGTTTTTGTGTTGGAAGGTGATGCTCTGTGCATTCAGATTGTGAACAAAAGCAGAACAGCTGGACTTTGTTTTTACGAGTTTGGTGGTTTTCTAATTGTTTTCGATGTTATTACAATGTTGTTATTTGGTTGTAAATGAGGGCACTGCTACAAACGTCCTTGGAGACACAACTCTCTTGAAAACACTTGTTAGGAATCACAAGGCGGTGTTACCGGGTTAAGTCTCGGAGCAATCAACCTTAGCTGCTTCTGTGTTCAGAAAGTTTTGTCGGGCACAGCGGCGTTTGAAGTGTGTGTGTGTGTGTGTGGGGGGGGGGGGGGG